AAATAAATAAATAAAAAATTAATGAATTAAAAAAAGCCTCAAAGCCCTGGAATGGTATGGTGCCTCAAAGGGGTAGAGCACTAGACAAGCAAAGGCTGTCAGGAAGGGCTCAGGGCCCTAATTCAAGCCCCACAACCGGAATTTCTGCCTGGGCTGGCTTCAAGCACAGATCCTTGGAACTAAACTTCTTGACCATAGGATTATAGACATAAGCCTGGGGAGTAAATCCTGAAGAAGCGCTATTTCAGCTTTTCGAGGGCCATATCCCCTTTGGGTGCCCTGAGATCCCAGCTAGCACAAGACTGACTCCCCAGCATGCCAGTCTGGTTTCTATGGAAACAAGCCTACCTACGCAAAGTCTCCCGAGCGGACCCCAAAGCTGGAGGCTAGGGAGCCAACCTCAACAACAAGGCTGTGAGCAGGGGAGGAGCTACGCAGAGCAGCACCGGGGCTGACAGGCCTAGAGGACACTGTGAGCCCACCCCCCCCTCCGCCCCATTGGCTCTGCCTCTGCCCCACCCCTCTGAGAATAGTAGAAATACTACTCTCTCGGCTCAGATCCAGCTGACCTGTTTGCCTATGCTCTATCTAGCCATGCCAATGGCTAATAGCTACATTCTGCGTAGACCTCTGGGCCTGGAGAAGATGTACCCAGATTCTGATCTGGAGTGTGAAGGCTTTTTGGACAAGCCTCTTCGGGAACAATTCGTAGCTGCCCGTAGGCTCCGGTGGTCCTCTGGCAGCAAGAAAGCCAGACGTCGTAGAGGGAAACCACAAGGCTCCCGCTCCTGGCAGCATCTAAAAATGAGGTCCCGTACTCGTCGTTCCGGGCATATCTATCGTACCCTATATATTCCACGGAAGGAAGCGCCTCCACTGGAAGCGGGGTGCTACCTGGACCATTATCCCCGTCTTTCATTGTTCATCAATGCTGCCATTGCATTTTCCATCATCTCTTACATTTTTGCCTGTATCAATTTACAACTTGTCTGAGTAGTTAGGGAGGGACCAGTGGGTTCAGATCTGGGGGTGGGGGGTGGGGGATGGGAAGGGGAGAGAAAAGCTTAACATTTTGTTTTGGGACGTACTGCATTTTCGTATAGCTTTTGGCTGCTTGTCTTCTGTGTTGTCTGTGTTGTCTGATTCATGCGTAAGAAGGCCAGTGAAATATTTATACGATCTGTAATGTTGAGAGTTCTGTTTGAAATTAGGATCGCGTGGCTGTATCTTACCGCTTGTGGATTTGGCATACAACTATCTGAACATTTTACTGGTAAGACAGCGCAGAGAGAGCCTGACCTGTTCCTGAACCGATGCGCCACTGGAATCCGCGGCCTTTGTAGAGGCTGTTGTACAGGTAGATGACTGGACAGTGGCCCCGGGACTCAACGTGGCCCCAGGAGGAGCCAGCGGCGTGTGGGGACTGACGCAGTGAGAAATCAGAGCACAGGGGGGGCTGGCCGACGCTAGCAGGCGTTCCGGAGCGCGCGACCAATCCAGGCGCGCGGTGGAACATCGCGCGGCCAATCCAAGCACGGGGTCGATCCGCCGCGCGGCCAATCTAGGAGCAAGGTGGACTCGCCCGCCCAGTCGACCCAAGAGCGCAGTAACCCGGATGGACGCACACGGATGTGGGTTGCGCACTGAGCACACGGGCACCACCGGAGCGTGGGCTGGCCGCGGTAAATGGCGTTGGTCTAGGCCCTATGCTTCTTCCCCAGGGGTTTGCAATAGCGCGTGTTGCATGTATATATTTTTTCTACCGTAGATTCGTGTTGTTACTGCTAACCAGAGCTGAAGACAGCCTGTGGTGTGGAGAAAAGACCTCGAGCCGGACCTGTCTTAACTGGAAAGCCATGCCCAGAATGTGTAAATTTCGCAGTCTAATATTGCATACATTTTAAAGAAATGTCAGTAATTGTGGTACCATGGGGTAAATAAATCAATTTTGTCTGTCTTCGTTGTCAATTCTCCATTCATTTCCACCTGTTCAGTGGGCTCTGCGGGTTTCCATAATCATGGCCACCCTGAAGATGGCGCTCACATTCCGGCCTTACTGGTGCAAATCTTCCACTAGATAGCCCCAAATTAACAACTTTTCCCTTGTCAAGCTCCCACAACATCAGTACATTTTAACAGCAGATTTTTCATTACTGCATTACCCACTGCTCCACAGTATTTTGTAAGGAACTTCTGTAAGGAGGTAGCTTACACCGTAATCCTAGCTACTCAGTAGGCTGACATCTGAAGATCTCAGTCCCTGAGTCCTGCTAGTCCAGGCAGGAAAGACTAGGCTTATCTCTAGCTACCCCCAAAACAGCCAGAAATGGAGTCATGCCTAAGCAGTAGAGCACCAGACTTATGCAAAAAAGCTGAAAACATAGCATGAGGTACTGAGTCAAGCCCCAGTACCAGTCCATACACACATACACTAGATCAATTAGCCAATAAATGACACTTCTGGTCCACTACAATCCTTCAACTAAACTTGGAATTTTCCCCATTTCACCCCACGTCTTTATAATTTTTTTATTTTTTTTTTGCCGGTTGTGGGGCCTGAACTCTGGGCCTGGGCACTGTCCCTCAGCTCTTCAGCTCAAGGCTAGCACTTTGCCACTTGACCCACAGTGCCACTTCCGGCTGTTTTTCTTTTTGTTTATGTGGTGCTGAGGAATCAAACCCGGGGCCTCATGCATGCAAGGCAAGTGCTCTACCACTGAGCCACCTTTCCAGCCCCCCATTTCTGGCTTTTTCTGCTTATGTGGTGCTGAGGAATCGAACCCAAGGCCTCATGCATGCAAGGTAAGCACTCTACCGCTGAGCCTCCTTCCCAGCCCTAAATTGTTTTTCAACAAAAGGGTCTTGATTCTGATTTCCCCTATCACTGTGACCCTTGGTATTGTGTCCTACACTTCCAATGTCACAAGTGAGACATCTGTCCCCCAATGCCAGCCTGTCTTATAGCTAGTTTACAAAAACCCTTGCAGAACTACTGGTTAACACTCCCCAAATCACCCCAAATCACATCTTCAAGATATTGAAACTGGTACCTGGCTTTTAATCTGAGATATTGCAGTTACCCTATCCCTTAGTATTCATTTCATCCCAGCATATGGGTTCGTGTCTCTAAACTCAGTTCACATTCATATCTCTAGGGGGATTATTACCTCATTCTGCAGGTCTTCAAATGACTCCTCAGGTTATTCCTCAATATTATGTTGTCACCTAATCCTGATAAGACTATCCAGTCCCCAAACCAAAGTTCCCAGTTCTAATTATTTTTCCACTATATCACGACTCTGTTACTTAACCCATGCCCAATTCAACTATACTATACCATTAGCAGATTAAATTGGCTCCATTATTGTCAACCAGCCCCAGGGTGGGGTGTAGCCCAGTGGTACAGTACTTGCCTAGCCATGTCTAGCTCTATTTGACCCTTATTCCAGAATTAATTGCAGTTCCCTAAATGCTTGGATTACTGTTTCCCACATGTTCCACCCATACCTTCCTTCACATTCACCCATCATTATCCTCAAATTAATCTTACATCAGTTCCAAGATCTAGGTAGTCACACATGCTCAATGCCCACCTGTTTCATGGTAATGGTGTCCAAATATTGTTCTCTACTGTACTCCTATTTGAGGCATTCAGTGAAGTCTTCTCCAGAATATCAAGGCTTTCCACCTATTAAAGGACAGCCTTCTTAAGAGTTTGATCATAATTTTTTTCTTGGTCTTTGTGCTATGTCTCTTATGAATCAAATTCTAGGGAGCTGGGAATGCAGCTAAGTATGGCAAATAATTGGCAGGCACAATGTGTGTTCAACCCCTAGAACTCACCCCACCCCATCCCCACCAAAGAATTTACTGGCCTGGCTAAGATCATATGCCTACCTTTGGCCAAAGGCAAAGATACATTACAAGGCAAGCCCATGAAAACAACACATAACAGGGAAGAAATGCTTTGTCAAAGAAAAACTCAAATGCCCTAAATGTACCAACATCCACTTTCAGCAGATAGACAATTGTTTGGAACAAGTGTGTTAGTGCTAGGAGACAGTGCATGGAGGTGAAGTTATCTAAAATAAGTTGTCAGCAGGGCCACACCTACTATGGAAACCCTAAGAATCTGTTAATTCATTCACCTGTGCCAACTGTGGCTGTTGGCACTCCTTGATTTATAGCTATACTACCCCACTCTGCCACAGTGCCTTTAAGTCTTTTTTTGTTGGTGGTCGTGAGGCTTGAATTTAGGGCGTGGATGCTGACCCTGAGCTTTTTTTTGTTTTTGCCGGTCATGGGGCCTGTACTTTGGGCCTGGGCACTGTCCCTCAGCTCTTCAGCTCAAAGCTAGCACTCTACCATTTGAGCCATAGTGCCACCTCCGGCTTTTTCTGCTTATGTGGTGCTGAGGAATAGAACCCACGGCCTCATGCATGCAAGGCAAGCACCCACCACTGAGCCACCTTCCCAGCCCCCCTGAGCTTTTTTTTTGCTCGAGGTTAATACTCTACCACTTTGACCCAGAACTCTACTTCTGATTTTCAGGTGGTTAATTGGAAGTAAGAGTCTCACAAACTTTCCTACGTAGACTGGCTTGAACCACCAGCCTCCTGAATAGCTAGGATACCAGTGCCCTGCATGCCTCCAGCCCTTTTGTCGCAATCTTCCTCTAGCTTTCTCTTACAATGACATTATCACTGGATTTTAGAGCACATACAAAATCAAGATGATGTAATCTCAAGTTCCTGACTCATGCTCATATTCAACGACTCCCAAGAATTAGGACATGGACATATCTTTTTATGGGATCCCCATCCAATCAAGTGCATTTATAAGATTTGAAATGAACTACAAATGTGAAAGTTTTCATCTTAGTAAAAAGTCATATAAGGAAAGAAACATCCCATGATAAACAATAGAAAACTCAAGTTTTAAAAGCAAATATGTGTGCACACATGTGTACAGAATTAGAAATAGGATTTCTTGATAATAAACAGGCTTTCTAAATCCAATATTTAATTGTTAATATTAATACTCTTACTTCTGGTACATATATAGGAAGAACTCCAAAGCCTGTTCTTTTGGATAGCAGAAGGCAAGTGATACCTTAAGAGTACTCACTGCCATTCCTCCACTTCCTTGGGTGACTTGATGGTACAAAGTATTTTGATGCTTGTGAATGTGAATAAGTAAATGTTAGGTACAAGGCAGATTCTAACTAAATGTACATGTACATTTCATAATTGGAGTATGCCCCAGGTGGCTTTTCCTGTACCAGTGGGATCCGTTTGCTGTCCTAGATCTTCTCCTGCTAGATTCCAATGTAGTCAAAGCCTTGTCCATGGAAAGTATTTTGGAAACAAAGCCAACTTCTCTACCAAAGCTCAAAGTTGTCTTTTGTTTTTTGTAATCTCTTTCTTATAAAAAGTTACCAGCCGTTTAAATAGGGATACAGGTGGACCTATTGCAACAATGAGATGTACAAGTCATTATGTCGAAAATGAACTTTACAACTTTGG